TGTCTGAATATAATAGTTGGGGAGTGAACGGAAAAAAAAAAAAAAGAAGTAAAGTGAGAGGAGGCGTGCTTCCAAAAACGCGTGACAATGGAGACTTACCATATTTAGGTTCTGAATCCAAATTTGGATAATCGTCATGACAGAATCTAATTCTTTTCTTTGGGCTTGAAAATATGCCGGAATCTGAATTCGATGGTTCCTCCGGAGAAGATGTGAAAGAATTTGAACGTGAGTATGCCGGGGAATTTATTATCGAGGGTAAAGTCGTCGAGTTCGAAACCATCGGAGCGTCGCGGTTCGAAATGGGAAACGACGATCTCACGTTCTCGCCATCTACATTCTCAACCTGCGAGAAATCGCGTTTCTTTGACAAAGAGGAATAAAATCGATTCTTTATTAGATTTGCGGGTCGACCTAGCATCTGACTCATCACCGCCCACTTTGTGCCCATCTTGGAGTGATATTCGATGATTTTCAAGTCTTCCTCGTGCGTAAGGGGGCCATACTTCACTTTGTTGGGGGAGGGGGAAACGTTGGAATCATCACGTTAGGACCGATACATCTTTGCCGTGTGAAGAAAAGAAAATTTCATTATACTTACATTCCGGATTGAGATGATTATGCCATCTATTTAATTGATTCTGATGAGTTAACCGTGTGAAGAAATTAACGAGCAACGGGGGAAATGATAATTTACCTTTCGCGGCATTGCTTTCCATCCCTTAAGCCGTGTCTGATGCCAATCAGCTTCCAATGCTTAACGCCTAACTCTGCCACAATTGCCAGTAATCTTTCGTCCTCCTAAAGTTGAAGTGGTTAATCGTTTTTCTTTTTTTTTTTTTTTTTTTTTTTTTTTTTTTTTTTTTTTTAAGGAAATGAAAAAGGAAAAAAGAGTGTGTATACTAACATGAGGTTCCCAGGGACCCGTCCTGCGGGAAGAGTTGGCGGGTCGCGATAAACTTTGGGTGGTGATCGATGAGGAAGCTTCTTTATTTCGATCAAAAGTGTTGACCGTGTTCATGGTCGCTGGCATGCTCGGGTTCATGTCATTCATAGAAATTGCAGTTCTCATCTGGGATAGCCTGCAGTCCGAAGGTCTTTGGGTCGATGGTGTGGATTGATTACTAAGAGGTTTTACGCGCGCGAAAAAGCAAGGCCTCTGGGGGTGAATGTGAAAATTTTTTGTTTTAAACAAATAAAATGTTGAAGGATCCAGAGTACAATTGGTGTTAAACTACCAAGCAACAAGAAAATGGAAGAAGAATAGTAACTTTCTTGGAGAGCGAAAAGAAAATCAAAATTAGAAAATTTCTAAATCGTCAAGATATAAAAAGAAAAAAAATCTGGCAAAAGGAAATCTAGTGTCATTTAAAGACAGAAACTAATGCGTGCAGTAGCAGGACTCCAGAACAGGACGGGCCGATTGAAACGTGCGAAAACAGGGAACAGGATCGTGAACAGAAGAACTAGCGTCCGTGTGGTAGGACCTTAACGAAATTTAGGTTGGCTGGCGGAGCTTTATTCAGTTAAGCTATTACACACTTTTTAATTAAACTCGAAACAAAGAAATTACAGTAATCCGACTTATCTTTTTATTTTGTTATTATTACTACTGTTATTATTATTACTGGTGTTATTGTTAATGCACTATATATACTGTATATATTTTACTTATTTATTTATATTTATATGTGCGTATGTATTTTGAAGTATGCAGCAAGATAAATTGGAGATAACTTCTTTTTTTATCTCACGTCTCATTTTCTGTTAGGATTCTTTTGTTTGCACCATTATCTTAAGGCCGATCTTACAATGCCGAGTAAGTGCAGCAAATGGCTGATTCGATTTCGAATAGTGAATAGTGGGAAATTTCTACAAAGGAGTGAGCGTTGGGTGACATCTCGCTAGGAGTTTGATTTTTTATCTCCAGTTATTCGGATTGTTGGGGGTTCACTATCCGTAGCAGTCAAATTGTTGATATTTGGTATCAGCTATTGCGTTATGCGAATGCGCCTTTTTAAAAAGGGACTTGATTCAACGCAAAGATGATTTCATGGATTTCTTTTTTTTTCTTTTTTTTTTTTTTTTGAAGGGTTAGTCGGCCCTGCCCTTTGATTGATTGAGAAAAGAGAAAGATCGCACTGATCAAATTGAATGACAATTGAATGATTATTGTTCGGGCCTATTTAAAAGTGGGATAATTATAACTGCTCGTACATATAACTGTTTGTTCATCCTATTATAATAACTGTTCGCTTTTTTATCAAGTCGATTTTTTATTATTTAAGAAATTCTCATTGTAACTGTCGTCTTCTTTATTTACTCATCCAACACTCGATGCCTCCCTGCATCTTCTCAATAACGATTAGATTTTCCACGACATTTATGGGTTTCCAAGGAGAATCTCCAGTTGTCCCTCCTTCACATAATCTCTCTTTGCATGATTCATCATGAATCTTTGGTCGGTGTCTTTGTGATATGCAAATACGGTTAGACCGGCACATTTGTATACGAACAATTCTATAAATAAATTTTCGGGGTTGCAATTTTTCCTTTGATTCCTCGATTGGACCCTTTCTCTTCAAGTTTTCTCTCTCGCCTCCGCCCCGCAAGAATTAACCAAATTTATTGAGGTTGATACTTTTTTAGCCACCACTCCTCGAAACGAGACGTATGGATGACTGAGCTGATGACAAAATAAACAAGAATAATAATAATAATAATAATGATAATAATTTTTTTCTTTAGAAAAAGAAAAAAAAAAAAAAAATAATAATAATAATAACAAATCAGCACAGCCGATAGCGTTTGAGGAAGAGAAAAAAAAAAAGAGAGAGAGAGAGAGAGAGAGACGTTTTCTTATTTTTCAAAACGTTTTGTGTTAATTTCTCAAAGCGTTTGATGTTAATTTATTCCTGAAATTCATTTAAAAAGACGTTTGACATTCATGCCTGTTTATTTTTTCTTGGCAGCCAACAGAGTCTCGCCAGCATCTCTACGTGGGTAGGTGCGTAGTACGCACGTATACACGCACGCGTGTACTATAGATTCTTTCCGACATGGTGCATGTCGAGTTTGTATATGCTAACAAAAATGCAACTAAAATAAAAAGGAATTACGTGCGCACAGTACGTACATGTTATCAAAGGAAAATAAAATATTGTTGATGAAGTATTGATTGGATGGTGAAATCGTGAAAACATTCATTCATTCAATTCTATTCATTGTTGATGGCAAGTAGGGATTTGCGATTGTTGGTAACAATGCAGAGCAAATAGCGCGAATACTATAATAACATTAATGACGCACAAATTGGATTGGACGTGGGACAAAGCTACGGCAAAACACATAAAACACATATGGTCGATTATGATGATATTTTCAGTAGCAGGTAATGGAGCCCAATAACATTAAGAAAAAAAAAAAAGGGCTTGTAAAAGGCAACAACAAAAATGTGGTATAATCCCTAAATCGTTAATGGTTAATGTGAAAGTCTAAAACTACCAGATATTTAAAGATCCTGCATAAGTGGCGCAGGATAAATATTCTCGTGCATAGCAATTTATTAGATAACAAACTTGCCTAAATCATCATCTCAAACCTGTATTCAGAAAAAAAAAAAAAAAAACTCACATCTCAAACTAAGGACATTGGGGAAAAAAAAAAATCAGGAATAATCGCCAAGACGATAAAATTAATAAAATCATTTTTGCTAAAGATACCGACAAATTAATGCAAAGCAAATTTAATATTGTGGATTTCATACCAATACGATTTAAGAAGAACTCCCTTAAATGAGTAGTCCGAATGAATAGATAAATGACAATACGTATTTATTTCTTATAACAACATGCAGCTGGGGGCTGCTTTTGGCGGTTTACTAAGCCTCTTAAGGATTAATCAGGTTAGCACAACTTGTTATTTGTGGTCACGTGAACCGCAACCATTGATGAAAGAAATGTCGAACTTCTTTTGGTTTAGCGCGCATGAGAAACATCCTCGTTCACGTACAGTAGCAACTGCTTGGCCGTTGAGAGTAAAGTTATGCAAGAAGACGGTATTTCCGATGCCCACCTGATTCGATCCGTTGTATTTTGAATTTTGCGCATGCAAGAAAAATAACTTCATTGGACACCAACTCTCAACTCCCAATTAAGACGAACCCCCAACCAACAAACAATATAACGTCTCTTCTCTTAAAGTCAATGAAACCTGAGAGTCATACGATCATTAAATGTTGACCCATGCAATGCATCAAACCGAACGGCCATCATAATGGAAGAAAATATTCAAATTATGAACTTGTTGCCCAAATCCGGTTTAGGAAATTGGGGTAGTCACAACGAAACGTTTACGTTAGATCCAATTTCCCTTTCGTTCCTTTCTTTCTTCCTTTTTTTTTTTTTTTCTTCACAGGTTTGCAATCATTGTCTGACGAAATTTATGCGTACGCGGGCGGATCCGGTTCCCTTAAAGTTTAACTAACGAATCATGACACTTTGAGAAAGCGTCTCGCGATTACGACAGTACAGTCACAATTAACCTCCTATTTACTATTTTTATTCGGAACTCTGAGGCTTAAGTTAATACGAACAAAAAAGAGAATGCAGGAATTGAAAATTATTATTTTGTAATGCGTTTATGAATCGGGGCAAAAGATCAGTACATCATCCACAACATTCACGAGACAAGTGTGAAAAAATATTTTAATATACGGAAATGCAAATAACTACTCAAGACAAAGAAAGCTGCAATATCTGACATAATTGAAACACGAAGCACATATCGCGAGAAAAATACAAAATAACAAATATTAATGCGCGTGAGATTTTTTTTTTTTTTTTTTTTTCCACAATTTAAGCATATTTAGTAAAGCGAAAAGATAGGAGAATACGCGATGGCATGATAATTTTAAGACTAGTGTCATTGAAAAAAAAAAGAAAAGAAAAGAAAGAAATCTTTTTTGAAGTAACGATGCGCTCATAGTGTAAATATGTAACGGTGTGCTGTGCTATTAACAAAAATTTTACGCTTTGACTCTTCACATTACTTGTTTTGTTGATTCTGGCGTGAATTTTTCTTTTCTTTTGGATTTTTGGGGGTGAACAAGTTAACCTGCACGATGCACATGGTCGAAGTTAACTAGGGTTTTACGGTTAGAAAATAAATTCTCTTGAATCGACACGTGCCAATTCACGTGATAAATTTTGGAGCACACCTCGTTCAGGATTATATTGTACAAATATTTGTTTGAAACCACCCAATCCGTGTAACACTCAGGCAAGTATATGTCCGGTGTTTCTTCATTATTGACACCCCTGAAAGATAAGAATTGCATGTAACACGTCTAGAGCTGCGATATAATGTGACGTGTTTGTCCCTGGTTTTGAATTGTATCATCGACTCAAGTTTGTATGCCTTTGCTTTTATTTCTTACTTGTTTTAGCGCACCTCTCGTACAGGTCCTCAGGTACCCTTTGGACAAAAATAATATGCGCACTCTCTTTCTTCGGCAGTCGGACGGATACCTCCGAGTAATTTGGTGATGCCACAGTAAAATTTTTTTCCACAAGGTTCTCGATAATCTCTACCCGATCTTTTGGATGCACCGTAATCTTTTAAGAAATATCCATTCTTTTCACATGTATGTTGAATATATTAAGTCTTTATCACAATATTATTATTATTATTATTATAAAATTTTATTGATATTATTAATATTTTACAGCATTTATTGTTATATTAATTTATCTTTAACAGTTGAATAAATGAGTAATAAATAATATTATAGAATCAATTGATTTTATTATGTTGCCTTTTCATTCTATTTTTCCAAATCAGGCCAATCTGATTATGTTGAACCAACCCAGTCACACCATGTTAATTAACATATTTGCAGGAATATTTACAACACAGCTCTTACTGTATCCTCAAATTGGTTTTCTATTTATTTTATTTGCTCATTTATCCATTGGTCCTCTTTAATTTCAAGCCGACTTCCTTTTAATCAAAGATTCCTTGCCGGTGGCTTATTTTTACGGAATTTACTGTACTGTATATGCGGATCTCATG